TTGAAGCATACTTATTCAAGGTAATTCAGCATCAGTTGGGCTACCTGTGAAAGTGGTAAGAGCAGTGCTGGTCAACCAGAATTATGTATGTATGTATGCTCTCTAACGCAAGCCATTTTCTGGAGAGCAGAGTTTCGGGGAATTCCAATGTTTAAGCGCTCATTAACACATTAATTGCTGGTCGAGTGTTTTCTCGGATTATATGATGAATTTTTAGATGCAACCTCGAACATAAATGTCCTTTCATTAAAAAAGCTGCGGGCAATGTTATATACTCGCTCGAGAAACATTTCTTAAATAAATTTAAAAAAAAAAATCCCACAAATTAAGGTACAAGTACAATTACCACGACGGAAATAATTAGAACTTTAGAAAAGATTTTATTTCTTGTACATGTTTGTGAATGTTAGTTTTAACTTAACCCATACATTTAGATATTTACCAAAAATATAAAATTCTTGACCAAAAAAAAGAATTGAGTAACAGTTGTTTCAAACACGAGTATAGTTTTTCTTTCAGTGGTTGGCGAACTGCAATTGGATCCCTGCAGGGAAACCGCGGACTGGGGCATACAATTTCTAGTTCCGTACAAGATCTTTATCGTCAAAAACGAACCAGTCCGATAGTAAGTAGATCCCCACCAGTTGAAAATCAGCGAAATGTGGGACTCTTAAAAAAACTATTTTGTTTCTCTTTTTTCATTAGAAATCTATATCTAAAGTGACGAATTTAGAACTGGTTCGGAATTATAGAAAACGGGACGCAGAACGAACTAGATCTTATCTGTCGAATTTAGAACTACTTCGAAACTATCGGAAAAAGGGATGCAGCCGGGGGCTTGTTTACTTTACATAGATATGTGTTTGGCGGCTTTTTCGTTCAAATGCACTTTCATTCTGCACTTCGCAGATGCTATTTCATAGTTTGGTAATACAAAACAAAACTTTGTGTTAACATATTAACATCTTGGGGCCGTCTGCAATCTAACCAATAACAGCGAGCACCTGTGCAAAGTCAGCTACAGCCAAAGGTATGTAAACGTACATGTCTTACAATCATTCAAACAAATGTAATTTCAAATTGAAAAAAACGTTACTTTGAAAATAATGTAAAATTGCACACGGAAGGATCGAAAATATTGAAAATCATGATCCTTTTTTTTCGTCTGGCGATTTTAAAACTGGTTCGGAACTATAGAATTTAGAACTAGTTCGGAACTATCGAAAAAGGGATGCAGCGGGGGCAATTGACACTTCCTAGGACATCGCCATGTTAAATTCGCCAGTTGTTTGTATGCAAAAGAGATTTATCGTGAACCAGTGCTGGGTCTAAACGTACTACAGGCGCACCAGTTCAGAACTAGAGATTTTCCCCACAGGGATAGTAGTGATTTCGATATTATGAAGAAATTTAAGTAAAAAATTATCATATGTAGATTACCTCGAAAAATAAATTAGGTTCCAAGATAGAGTCCATGGCCTGTTAAGAAATATAACAAAACTCCTTCATTCTTCTCCGTTTGTGAAAATCCAGGCAACTTTCGTCTCTCGCGTAGCCATTTAGTCGAAGTCGACCAGCAAAGCAACTACCTTTACCGTTCCGGCCAGCAGCGCTACGTCTAGCTAAAGAATGCTTACAAGAAGGCGCATCCTTATCGAATAACAGGAACGATGGGACTCATCTACCACGACGTTGGGTCCAACCCCAATCAATAGGGCGTATGAAGAGTTTGACACCCACATCACGACCTTTTTTTATCTGGTGATTTCTGTTTAAGATACTACTACAAATGTATACATATATACAATCAATATGGTTAGTGGGAAACCCGCCTGTCGGACGTGCCAAAGCCGTGGTACGTGTTGAGTTTTACTCTCCCAATTTGATTGCCAAAAGAAGAAGTGGCATTCCAACCAAAGCTGACTACTACCCACACAGCGTTCATTACTCTACCACTCTTCATGTCAACCTAATATCCGCAAATTCTAGGTATTAAATATTTTGTACATCATTATTTACACGCGTATACATTTCGTTAATACATATTTTCTATAAATTAAGTTAGTTACAGTTTTTCGTTGCATATAGTTATGTTGTTATGTTTCCTTCACTTGAAGACGTTTTATTTACCATCACTTTGTTCTCTGCACCTACGTGGACACAGTAGTCGTTGTTGTTGCACCACCATTTCTCGCCTCTGCCGCTGCATTTTCACGCTCCTGCAGTTCTTGTAACTCTTCCTCCTCGCGCGTCAATGGTATCGTCGAGTGATTATACAGCCCCTGTGCCATTAGTTGTAGTGCCAAAGGATTTTTGTGTCCACTCGACTTTTTCAGTTTGGCACGCTTATTTTGAAACCAAATTTTTATTTGCGCTTCATTTAGACCCAATTCGGAACTGAGCTGTTGGCGTCGTTTTTCGGTCAGGTAACGATTCTCGGTGAACTCGTGCTATAGGGCGAAACAAGAAGGAACAAATTACAATCAGAGGAATTGTGAAACTAAGAACAAGAAGCTTAAGTTTTAGGAATGACGTTCTGATCTTCATGATTTCTATGGAAAACTTATTTTAATATGTGACAATGAGCCTATAGTAACGTTTCGCTAACTATCTTTGGGTTAGACTAGTTTAAGTTGCAGGAAGTATACATATGTACATATGTATATGGAATCTCGCGCTTTCTTATTAATTCTGAAAACTCCACCTACTTATGTTGCCTTTCGAACTACAAAAGAAAATAAACTTAGTAATTGGTTTTGTGCTCAGAATTAGGAAATTCTCTAATCACAATAAGCTTCTGAGGTGATGGAGTAAATTATTTTTTAAGTCTGTTGATAGATCGATCAACAGAAATATTCTAGAAAAGTACCTTTCACATAAGGTGAGAAATTATAAGCGAGGAGCAGCTACGAAGGACACGGCTTTTAGCTTATAAGTGGTGAGCTGAAAGAGAATTTTCCCTCTGCGCGACCAAACATATCCTTGGAGAAAGTTTAAAACTTTGTATAGCTTTTATGTGAATGAGGTCAAAGTAAAAGCTCTTTATGATCGTCGCTCGCCAATATAAACCAGTGGGGATAAGAGTGCTTTTACTCAGTGCGCTCCTAAATTAAATCCATAGAAAGCTTTAAAAAGCTCTCTCGTTGGATATATTTTGGCCGTAAAAAGCTTAAGAAGCATTTGAATTCGTCAAGCAATTCGCCCGTGAGTGATCTATAAAACCTAGAGAAAGCTTAAAAAGAGATTCACCTCTAATCCTTTTTTAAATATGTATATATGTTAAGTGATATTACCTGAATAGAGTTTTTTTCCAGGGTTCGTTTAGATAAAGTGCATAGATAGCTTTAAGAAACTTTGCATAGGTACCATCAAACCAGTGAATGCTCAAAACAGCGCCCGTGGGCGGAACCCTTCAAAGCTTTCTGTAGATTTTATATGCGCGCACACAGAGTATGAGCTCTCTACGGGCAGCTCAAGGCCGGCGGATAAAGCTCTCATACGGATATTTGGATGCGCAGAGAGTAAAAGCTCGCTCTGAACATCTCCGATTTAAGCTCATAGAGTAAAAGCTTTCTCTGATAGTCATTTCTTTAAGCTCGTCCCTGCCTAAACATATCCCTTAGTGGAATTTTTTTTAAATATTTCTATAAATTTCACATATCTACATATGTTGGCGCGCACAGGTTAAAAGCTCTCACTTCTTAAAATTATGTAGCTGGAGTATTTAAACTATTTTTAAATGTTTCTAATTTTCAGAAAATGCTTTCTCTTAAACTTATTTTTTCCCTATTAACTTTTCCCCTTCTAGCTATTTGTTATTTGCTGTATCCACACTTGGTTGGAAATTAAATTTCATTGCGCAGCCATAACTCACCTTCAAGCGCGCCAATTGCGAACCACTGAACGCCGTCCGCGGTCGTTTATCCTCTGCGGTGGCGGCGCCACTTCCACCGCTTCCGCTGCCATTCGATGCGCCACCGCCGTTGCTGCTGCTGCTGCCCTTCTCACCGGCTAGCTTCTTGGGCTTACGGGCGCGTGGACCTGCCAAAATAAACAGAGAAGGAAAGAGAGCAATAAGTACTAGGAGAGAAAAAGGGAAGTAAAAAGAACTAAAACCAAGCTAAACCGCTCGAAACTCAGCGGCTGGCAACAATGTATCAGTGGCAAGAGTAATCCATACGCGCTACGCGTACTAGTGGAGGCGCATTTAATTGAGCCAGGACTCGCCGCACAATTACTAATACCGGCGGCACACATGCAACTGCGAGCAATTGTGAATCACCAACTTTCTACTAAATTTCCTGTGTCTAAGGGTTGCACACACTTGTGTATAAATACGCGTAGATATGTACAGCCGGAACATAAAAATTCCATTTGCCAAATAAAATAGATGCGCGTAATTGCGCCACAATGACTGGACGCTATCGTCCATTTGTTCGTTCGCTCGTTCGGTTGCCTTCATTTTCGGACACTACCTTTGTTCGTTTCAACGCCTGCTGCCCACTCCTCATCAGTCTTCTACTTCTCCAGCTTTATCCGCATAGCCCATCAAGCGTCTGCATAAATTTTCGCGGCATCCACGCACGAACTTGCAGCCAAGATTTATGAGGAGTTAAAAATTACACGGCAAAGACGAAACGGTAACGCCAATGAATTGTAATCGTCTAAAGTGGCAAATTTGTTGCTGAATTCAGCAGCAACAGGGGGGGGGAGAGTTGTGGGGGAGAAGTTCCTTCCCCACTATTTGGCGGCGCAATTAAGTCAAATGTTAAATAGTCAAACTTCCGGTTGTCTTTCGTTGTGTTTTACTTAATTTTGCGTTTTGAATAATTAAACTTTCCACTTTTTCTGCGCATCATCGTACTTTGGTTGAACTTTGGCTGTGACTTGGCATAGTCATCACCCGCCCACTCGGAAAGCAATCAAAGATGATGACGATCCATTGTAGTGGGTTGGTGTTGAACTGGCGAAATAGCAACTGTAGCTAATTTAATGCGTGAAAGAAGCGTTTAAATTAAATTAGAAATTTTATGTTTTCATTTGAGAGTTTTAGCTTTCGCTTTTGCAGGTTTTCAAAAGGTAGCTTTAAGGCGAAGGCAGCTGCAAATTAGGTCCCGCAACATACTTTTGCTTCATTTCATAAAAAAATTAGATTTACTCGACTGTTATCGAGGCGAGTTTTTTTTCAAATCGGCACTATAAAAGCATATCCAAAAAGTCGACAGATTCACAGTCGTATAAAAGAAAGGGAGATAGAAATGTCTTTATAGCAGCATTGAACAGAGAGGGCCTTTACGCTACAATCGTCCTTAGGGGGCGCTGGTATCACCGATACTATGGACCTAGGGCGTCGATTCTTCCCTTCTTCCAAATCCAAGGTATCCGTGCCCATTGGAGGGTTTACAGTCAAGCTCATCCGAGTGCATTTTAAAGGAACTTCCCAGATGCCTGTCCGTAGACATATGGAGTCAGCCGTCCACAGTCAGGGAAGTCGCGGCAGTGGTTCAAGGACATGAAAGGAAGTATGCCCTGCAGTCAGGGTGAAGCGGGTCAGCAGAGCTGCTGCTGTGAAAATTCGGAAACGGCCCTGAGCCCGTTAATTTTAAAGATTTGGTTGAGAGGTAAAATACATTCTCTTTGAAAGCCGTGCCCCGACTTAAGAGAGGGTTGCCTCGAAAAACCCTCAACTACCTGGTGCCGCTGCAGACGAGATATGGCCTTCAAAAGCCAGGGGCTGGCAGATAAAGCTGAAAAAAGCTCATCCTGCGGACAAGACGGTGTACAACGCAGCTTTACAGTTAACTATTTTCTATCGGGTTTTTTAAACGAATGAAGAGGCTAAGGACGTTTAGTTTAGAAAAAAGGCAGTTGTTCTTTGAAGTTCAGTAAACGAATTTCCAATGGTAACGATTCTAGGCGACAGGCGCCTTGCTAAGAATCTTCTGTATTGGCAAAGCCCTGTTGAAACTTTAAATTTTTGTCTAAACATGAAACTTCCATAGAATCTCTCTGTGATGAGGTATATCTCAACTTCTCAGTTGTGCAAGTAAGAAATTAGTCATCAGGCATAGGGGAAAGTATTGTCTCTAAGCACCAACCCCTACTAACTCTGTGCCTTACCGACCCCATACCGCCTGAACTCTAATTTCTTCCTACGCGAGAATGGAACTTAGTGTTTGGAATTGACGCAATTTGGCCTGAAAAGGAAACAGCTACATAGTGTGCTATTTAGCATCCGGCTTTCGGATGCGCAACTCATCTAGGGATTAGTATGCAGGAAATCAAATTAATGGTCTGGAGATTTTAAGACTTTTTTTGTCGGAACTAACTCAAAACAATGCGTCCAGAAAACAGCACTCAGCCTAACCTGAGGACAAACCTCTCACGTCCACGCGTACTGTTCTCGTGTCCCTCTTAATATGTTTTAAATCTCCGTAGTCGAGGCAGATTGACGAGTTTTAAAGAGCTCAGGCATTTGCCTTTCATCGCTGCCCACTGCCTAATCTAATCCTTGGTAGAGACATCAAAATTGTTCCGTCGTATCATCCTCTTCGAGGTAAGCGAAAAAAATTAGGTTGTCAATTATGTTGATCACAGTCAGGTGATTATGCCAAGAAAATTTGCCAGTGAGCAATCCCTTGATCTGCAGTTCCATCTGCTCAATGGAAGCAAATTTGGAGTTGCGCTCTCAATATCTACAAAAATGCACTAAATTAACTCTTCCATGCGAAGTGATTTGGAACTGACAAAATATTTAATCGAATTTTAACATTTTTACCTAGAAACTGCGGTTTTCATAATCACAACCTATTGTTTTTATGGAGGGACATGTGTAAGAAGCCCTTTTCTTAGAGACAGAAAGCGTCTTATATTTCCCTTAGGTACAGCGTTACTTCCGTCTGCACTGGCACTCTTCAACAAAATTCTGAAATAGGGTGTTTTCGAGCCGGCTGCCGAGATATGGCGATCTTTTGCTCAGCCGAAGATGTGTAGCCTTCGTATACGGAAAAGAGTCGCCGAACATTATTGGACCGACTCAACGATGCTTTGAAGCAAAAGCTACCGAATTCGGCAAGAAAAAACCACTTCAGAACAATGCAGCTGTAAACACCTTAGTCTGCCCTAAAGAACCTGTATTAGCCTATTTTGAGGGCTTCGAAAAATCAGTTTGTTGGAAGGTATAAAAAAACTGGAAGAAGGGCAGAAAGAGTCCAAAGCAATGAATAATTTTTAAGCCGGAAAATAGTCCTGCAATAAAAAAAACACGGATTTGTTGAACAGCCCTCGTATCTTTAGAAAGATTTCGTCAGATAAGAGATGCACTTTGGCAAATTCTGGCATCTAGTGTTTGCATTAATTTAAGAATTTTGGCAAAAAACGCCGCTCAGGCAGGCAGTTCTGTCTGATCTAACAACCAACCCCTTTCGTTGCTTGTCCAAAAAGAGATGTTCGTACTTTAATTAACAGTTAAATGTTGACAAGCGTAACAAATAAGCGCGAAAGAGTTGACGCAGGACATTCATGGTTTAAATAAGGGAGCGAAAAACTTCCATAATAACAAAGCTTATCTTTGATTATGCAATATAAACTGTAACTATGTAAATTCCGATTTGCCCAAAGTTAAGTAATGAAATTTTATTGCGCCACAATGGATTGTCACACTTTTTGTGGATGAGAGGGGGCGAGTGAAGAGTTGGAGTTGATAGGCAGCCGCAAAATTGCGCTAGAACATATTAAAGGCTAAATATTCAAAAATAATTGGGCCACAAGAATTTAAATTTGCTCGCCAGCTCAAAGAATAGAGATCCGGCTGGATACTTGTTTGAAATTCTGCCTTTTGAACTGCATAAAAGGCTTAAAGCACAAAGCAAAGAGTGGGTGACCTTTATGAATTTCTCCTTCCATTATTATTTATTTCTTATAACAGTTATTTGTGTACCCATACATTGGCATAGTAAAATTTTTGACACTTAATTTCATTGTCCTTCACACGACAAAAAAAAAATCCTAATTGCTTTCCATGGAAAATGTCCAATGTCGAGTGTGAACCGTGGAACAAGTGAGTGAAAGTTACTCCTTTATTGAAATAGTTTGGCGAAAATGAAGCAATTTCGACAGCCACTAATGGGCATTTTTGGTTGCGACTTTTCAACTGGCGGCCAAGCAAATGTAAATGTAGCATGCAAAAGATATGTATGTATGTATGTAATGTGCAATAACGCTTGTGAACTTTGTGAGTGAGTGAAAACATATGTAAATTTTCCAAGAAAATGCTACCTCGTCCGCCAGTCAGTGGCATGTACCTTCCTTCCTACCCACCATCTACCCACTTTGCCCATTGCGAGCGGCCTGCAAAACCGCGTGACGCCAACGTCTTGACGTGCTTCGGCATTATTAGTGGAGCGTCGCTTAAGAAAATATTTTAGTGAAATTAAGAAATATTTGCGGTTGCCACAAAACTACTTAATAAATCTTCGTCTTCGACTTAAATATTGCCATTAACGTCGAGTTAGAAATATGTTAAATGACCTAAAATGTTTACGTTTTGTTTAAGAATATCTTACACTTATAAATATACTTCTTTTAAGTAGGTATGCACATTAGGATGGTCCAAAAAAAAAGTAAAGTTGGAATTTTATGAATACCTCAGCTCAAAGCTCCGGCAAATCGACCAATCACTTTTTTATATAAGCGACCTGATACCCGCGATTCCGCCTGCGTAGCTTACTACTTTTCCATATATCTGCAGCGTGGAAGAATCTGTTATTGTATCAAGCCATTTTAGTGTACCACCTGTAGCCGCAGCAGCGGAATCAGGCGGTATTAAAAAAACTTGTTTTTTAGATTAGTGTTCTAGGGTTAAAAAACAATGTCAGTATATAGAAGAACGTAAGCTGTATACGTTTTTAATTTCCACTAAATCTGATTACCTCGACTGCAGCGACACCTAGCGGACCCATTTTTTGTGAGAGTATTTCGAGTCTCATCAAAATCGGACCATAAATAAGGATTTTGTGAACAACTCGACAATAGCGCCATCTAACGGATTCATTTTTCGTAAAATTATTTCCAATCTCATACAAATCGGACTATAAATAAGGATTTGCTGAATACCATGACTCCAACGCCGCCTAGAGGATCTATTTTTGTAAAAGTATTTCTCGTCACCCCTCCAGTCTACTTTCTAATTTCATCAAATTCGTACGGTAAATATAGATTTTATGTATTCAAAAAACTATTTAAAAATTCAGTGAAATGTAGGATAACAATAAGGGTATCAAATAAAAGAAAAAAATCTGTAAAATTATAAGAGAATACATTTTTTTGTACATAAGGACGAATGGGCATGGAAAATGTCCTTTACAAATTTTGTCCTTATCTAAATATCGTTGAAAATTTGCAATATTTTTTTTTTTGAGAAAATTGTTGTTTGAGGACTAATATACGCACGACCTCATCATCGAATTTCGTACTGCAAACTTTATTTACTTAGAAGGATAGAATTTATTAAAAGTGCATTTTCAATACCTATTCGTTCTTGTAAACCAAAAACCTTTATTGTTTTTAAATTCTACAGAATTTTCTCTCATATTGTTATTCGACATTGCACTGATTTAAATTTTTTTTTTTACTGAATATATCTTCCTAAAATTTCAAAGGTCTTTGGAAAAAATCCTGACATCATAGTGAAAAACTAAAAACGCAGTTTTACTATATTTGGCCCATAGTTTCGTGCGTATATCGATGCTTTCGTGTGTCTTGATTTAATTTTTTTTTTTGCTTTTGTCGCGCTTTAATTTTAAAATTCAAAACACTTACCTGCTACAGAGGCGATAACTTAAAGTTTATGGCAATTTATTAAGTGTTAACTCCAATCAAAGGTTTACTTACTTCGTCCTGCAAAGAGAAAGAAAAATTTTCAATATTAAAAATAAGTTTAGTTAAATATCGATTAAAATTAAATTCGAAGAAAAATATGTAGGTAAAAAAAAACTACGAAAGCCAAAGTGCCAATTAATAAAAGGCCAAAATTGATTAAATTCCACAGTGCAAGAGTGGCAACAATAAAAAAAATGCAGATAAAAACGTTTCGGAGCAAATAAACACGCAACCAAGGCAGGAAAACTTAACGTAAACCTTTCAAATAAACACAAACGCCCTGCCCGTCCAGTTCCATTCTTTTACACTTTCGCATGCCATGAAAATCAGGAAGACAGCGAGTAGACGTGCAAAAATGCCGAAATTACCCAGCATCCGTACAACAATAATAGCAACAATAACAACGGCAGTGCCAATAAGTATAGAATAGTCTGCCAGTCGTTTAAAGTGCTCTAGCAACTTATTGTTGGCATATATAACTTTCATTTTCGGGATATAGGTTCTTTGGAGCAGTAGAAATATTATCGGGTACAAATTTTATATAAATTTAACAAATATTGAGCATTTTAAGACAAAAAATTTTTGAAAAAATTTGCAAATTTTTTTCATTACCAAAATGCTTGAAAACCGCTCGAATGATTTTGTTTTTGTTTTCTTTAATCAAAAATTCAAGGGTTTTCCTTTCGTTTGGTATATGGGAAGTATTGGTTGATATCTTCTATATATGTTTATTTTATTCAAATATATGGGCATAAATGATTCTCCATACAAAATCACCTCGTCATCATTTTGCAAACACGTGCATATGTTGGAAGTGTGGGAAGGAGACAAAAAGTATGTATGTGTCCGTAAGTACATATTTCGGGGTTTATCGGTATAATAATCGATACTTTGTCGGTTTTATTACCGATGTTTTTATCGATTTTGCTATCGAAATTTTTATCGATAATGTTATTGATTTTGCTATCGATATTTTCGGAACTTATCGATATAATGATCGGTATTTTTTCGATTTTGTTATCGATATTTTTTCTCGATTTTGTTATAGATATTTTGTTGACTTTGTTGTCGATTATGTTATCGACACTGTAATCGATTTTATGATAGATTATTTATCGATTTTGTCATCGATATTTTTATTGATTTTGTTTACGATTTAGCTATCGATATTATTATTGCTTTCGTTATCGATATTTTCATCGAATTTGTTATCGATATTGTTATTGGTTTTGCTATCGATATTTTCGGAACTTACCGATATAATGATCGATACTTTTATCGATTTTGTTATCGATATTTTTTATCGATTTTGTTATCGATTGTGTAATCGATTTTGCTATCGATTTTGTCATCGATACTTTTATCGGTTTTGTTACCGATATTTTTATCGATTTTGCTATCGATATTGTTATAGATTTTTTTATAGGTTTTATATTCGATATTTTTATTGATGTTGCTATCGATATTGGTATCGATATTTTTATGGGTTTTGTTATGGATTTTGTTATCGACTTTATAATCGATTTTGTTATCGACTTTGTTATCGATTTTGTAATCGATATTTTGATAGATTTTGTAATCGATTTTGTAATCAGTATTGTTATCGATTTTGCTATCGATTTTGCTTTCGATATTTTTTCGATTTTGATATCAATATTTTCATCGATTTCTTTATCGATGTTTTTATCGATTTTGCTACCGATATTATTATCGCTTTTGTTATCGATATTTTTTGCTTAGTGTGTGCTTTTGTTTTTTTACTTGGATATGCTCTTAACCATACCACGTATTCTACGTTTAAATTTAGCGGCTGTATCTCCGATACAGCCTGCAGGCCAAGACGAAGGCGCTGGACTGTTCCTTTTTTTTATTTGATTTAATTTTTCTTCTTTAAAACTTGTAAACCGTAGAATAGAAGTGAAAGCGTTGTGTGTGTGTGGGTGCTCGTAAATTCTTTATCAATGTTTGTTTTTGGTTGTTGTCGAGTCAATGTTTTTTTCTTCCATTTGCTGCCGTTGCCGTTGCTGTTGCCGTTGCCGCTGCTGCTTTGGCGACAAAATTGATTTGTTCAATTTTTCCAACGATTAAACTCGCTGAAATTCACATTAGTAACGGTACATTTACTTTGAAGGTTGCGGAGTAATTCGATGATGCGTCCATTGCCGCGTCGTGCCGAGGCGATATGATATTTTTTGGTACTCGGATGTCAGTCAAATCGTC